ACACAGAACTTTACATGCATTAGGCAAACATTCTACTAACTGACCTGGATTTCTTTTTTTTTCTTTCTTTCTTTTTCTTTTTTTTGGTTTTTCGAGACAGGGTTTCTCTGTGACTTTGGAGGCTGTCCTGGAACTAGCTCTTGTAGACCAGGCTGATCTCGAACTCACAGAGATCTGCCTGCCTCTGCCTCCCGAGTGCTGGGAATAAAGGTGTGCGCCACCACTGCCCGGCTATTATTTTCTTTTTGTTTGTTTTTTGTTTTCTTTGAGACAGGCTTTCTCTGTGTAGCCGTGGTTATCCTGGAAGTAGCTCTGTAGATCAGGTTGGCCTCAAACTCAGAGACCTGCCTACCTCTGCCTCCTAAGTGCCGGAATTAAAGAAAGACATGTGCTACCACTGTCTGGCTATTATTTTTAAGTAGAGAAAAAGTGTTTTGTTTTGTTTTGTTTTGTTTTGTTTCTTATTTGATACCAGGGCCTTACTTACACATACCAGACAAATGCTCTAGCACTCAGCTAGAGCACTCCTGGGTTCTCAAGTGAAGAAATTTTACATTGTCTATCAACAAGCAGAGCCCATTGTGATACTGAGAACTCAAAAACAGAATGGATGTGTGGTGGTTGTATTCAGTACAAACACAGGGTCTAGGGAGATGGCTGTCATGAAGACTTAAGGATTGAGTTGGATCCTAGTTCCCATGTCAAAGCCAAGCTAATCACATATCTGCTTATAACCCATTACTTAGAGGTGAAGTGAAGGATGAAAACAGCCTTACTGAAGTGATGCACTTCAAGTTCAGTGAGTGACCCTGTCTCAAAAATAAAGTGGAGAGCTATTGAGCATCTGACCTCGACATACATGAACACCTGTACATAACCACTAAGACATCCACATATCACAGAGAGGGGGATAAAACAGTATTTGAGTGTGCAGACAGTTTTCTGTAGCTACAGGTTTCTCATTTACAGGTTTACACCATGGATGGAGAAAAACTGTACCTACAGTAACCATGTAAGGATGTTTTCTGGCCAGCTGCCTACACAACACAATATAATGATTTACATATCCATTTACATTCTGCTCAGCATTCTCAGTCCTCTAGGAATCGAGTCTTCTGGTAGATGCTACGCAAACACTCCAGTGTCCTACATAAGGCATTTAGGCATTGTGATTCTGGTAGAGTGGGAGTCCTGAAGGAGTCTGGCTGTACACAGCAAAGTATGAAAGCACAAGTAAAATGAGGCCGGACTCCTGTCCTTAACAGTTTGTTCACTGTCCTTGGATTCTGTTAGATATTAATGCTAGAAGAAGCTGGGGAAGACAAGACAGGGTTCCTCACACCATTTCTGAGATTTATCAGTAAGCCTCAAAGTATTTCAAAATGAAAAGTTTTTTTTTCTTTTTTTTTTTAAAGATTTTTGAAACAGGTTTCTCTGTGAAATAACCCTGACTGGCCTCAAACTCAAGAGATCCACCTGCCTCTGCCTCCTGAGTACTGGGATTAAAGGTGTGCGCCACCACTGGTTAGATGACAGAACTGTTTTGAGAAGGATTAGGAGGTGTGACCTTGTTGGAGGTTTCAAAAGCCCACACCAGGCCTTTCTCTCTAGTGTCAGTCTTTCTCTCCTCTCCTGCTGCATGTAGAAGATGGAAGCTCTCAGCTTCTGCTGCAATGCCATGCCTGCCTGCTGTTTGCCCTGCCCTGATAGTCATGAATTCACCCTTTGGTCATGTCTCGGAAAACCAAAAAAAAAAAAAAAAAAGAGTTGCTTTGGTCATGGTGTCTCCTCACAACAGAATATTAACCAAGACAGGTTCTGTCCACTTGCTTTAGACACAGGGTCTCTCACTCACCTGGAACTTGCCAAGTAGGCTAGGCTGGCTGGCCTACAAGCTCCAGGACTGAACCTATCTCTGCTCCTCCATGCCAATACTGGGATTACAAGTATGTGTTACCACACCTAGCTTTTACATGGGCTGTGGAGACTGAAATCATTTCTTCATGGTTACAAGGCAAGCACTTGATCAACTGAACCATCACTCAATGCCTGAAAAGTGGATTTAATTTATTTATTTATTGGCTAAAATGTTAATATTTTATATTTTGTCATAAATGTTCTGACATTTAATTGTGGCAAATTCATTTACTTTTTTAAAAAATGTGCAACCAACTATTAACTATAATGGAATTCACTAGCATGGGTAGTACCCTTTCAAAATCCCCATGTCCCAGCCTCACTGGCTTCAAGGTCCCACAGAACTTTGCTAAACCAGCCAGTGTGGGGAGTGGTGGCTTCACATGAGTGGGGAGGGAGACAGATCATGGGCTCCTTAAAACTGAGACTCCAGAGAGAGGAACTAGGAGACAGGTGTGGAAGAGCAAGGACTTGGTGGAGGAGGGGCTAGCAATGGGAAAACCACAAAGCTAAGCAGTATTTGTCAGTGCAACCAAGAAATGGTAGACTTAAGTTTTTAGTTTTAGGGGAAAAATGCATCTTTCACTTATAACCATGCACAATATTTCCAAACAAAATACTGGGGGGGGGGCAGGATGGGACATGACACTTCACCCACAAATACACACACACACACACACACACACATAAATAGTTTAGGACATCAGGAACCACAAGGGTCCTCTCCCTTTCATGAAGGCACAGACAGTGTGCCTTGCTGCTTGGTGGCCTTCAGCAGTGGGAACCAAACTTTTGGCAGGTAGGTCCCTTGGCAGCAGTGGGTTTTATTATTATTATTTAGATAGGGCAAGGTCAATAGGTCATGAGGTGGCTACCCTTAGTACCACTGTAAGTTGCCATAGGTGTGGAACTACAGTTGGTGCCCAAGGACACACCCAGAGTCAGTCAGGAGACCAAGGGGGTGCCTTTATCTGGCTTTTATGCTGCGGATAAATCACAGCCGTAGAGCATTTGCCTCACAGAGTGAGGCCCTGGGTTCATCCCCAGCACTGCAAAACAGAAATCAAGGCAGGTGCATTTACTATCACTCATTTACTTAATTGGAAACTGAGACACAGACTAATTTATCCACAATTAAGTGGACAGAGCTCAAACAACCAGAGGTTTTTCAATTAAATGGACAGAGCTCAAACAACCAGAGGTTTTTTGTTTGTTTGTCTGAAACAGGGTTTCCTGTGTAGCTTTGGAGCCTGTCCTGGAACTCGATCTGTAGACCAGGCTGGCCTCCTAATTCACAGAGATCTGCCTGCCTCTGCCTCTGAAGAGCTGGGATTAAAGGTATACACCACCACCGATGCCTAGCCCAACCCGATTTTTAAAAATCTAGACTAGAAATAGTCACACACCAGCTGATCTGGCATTAGCCCCTGAGCTGGCTATACTTCTGTCCTGAACCCTGAAGTGGGAAAGAACTCCTGGTCCCCTAGCCTTAAGACCAGTGGCTAGGGGAAATAGTGGGAAACTTCCACTTTTTACTATAAATCCTCCATAATTTCTGTTAATTACTAGCCTGTACTAAAATTTCCCTATCTTTTAGTTTTGGGCTGTCATATTATCATTCTGGTGAAAACCAACAATTAAGTGCTACTGAGAGCTGGGTGAGTGGTTCCAGCTACTTGGGAAGCTAAGGTAGGAGAGTCACCTGAGCCCAGAGGTCAGGGCCAGACTTAGCCAGATAGTGTGTGGGAGGGAGTACAGGTGTACAGGTCAGAACACAATGCCACTGGTCATTCTTCAAGAGCCTTTTTCCTTGGTGTATGTGTATGTGTTCACCTGCATGTGTAAGCCAGTGCTCTTGCCTGAGTGTGAGTGAGTATGTGGACGTCAGATGTCAATACTAGGCATCTTCCTTTATCTGTATCTTCTAAAATTTTAAAATTTTGCTTATTTGGGTATTTTGCATGCATGTATGTCTATGTGCCACATGCATGCTCTTGGAAGCTGGGAGAGGGTGTGGACCTGGAGTAACATACAATTGGCTGTGAGCTTCCATGTGGGTTCTGGCAATTGAACTTGGGACCTCTGGAAAAGCAGCTAGTGATATTAACTTCTGAGCCATCTCTCCAGCCCTACATCTTATTTTTTGCAATAATATTTCTCACTGAACCTAGAGTTCCCCGTTGTATCTAGATTAGTTGTCTCCACTTCCCCTCTAGCGCTGGGGTTATAGATATGCACATTACATCCAGCTTTTATGTGAGTGTTCGGAATCCAAACTCAGGTCTTCTTGCTCACACAGCAAGCTCTTTAATCACTGAGCCATATCCTCAGCTTCCACCTTGTTTTATGAAGGTCTCTCACTGACATGGAACTTGCCTGGCTAGACTAGTTGGCCAGCAAGTCACTGAGATTGCAAGCATGGGTCACCATGCCTCTGGCCTTTTAAAGATGAGTCTAGAGATTGGCTCAGGTCCTCATGCTTGTTTGGCAAGCATTTTACTGAGCCACCTTTGTAACCCCATAGTGAGATCCTGTGTATTTGTAAAACATCAGAACACCTGAGCTTGGTGAACAGGCCTATCATCTCAGCACTTGGAAAGCTGAGGCAGCAAGATAGATAACAAATTCAAAGCCAGCCTGGGCTACATGATGTCAGGATTTCTATCACTGTGATAAAACATTATGACCAAAAGCAAAGTCGAGGAAGAAAGGGTTTATTTCACTTACACTTTTACATCATAGTCCAAGGGAGTCAGGGCTAGAACTTGGAGGCAGGAACTGAAGCACTGGCTATAGAGGAAAGTTACCTGCTGGCTTTCTTAAATAACTCAGGACTTGCCCCCAAGCAGCACGCCCCCAGTGAGGAGGGCCAACCCACATCCATCATTAATCAAGAAAACTTTTTGGAAGCATTTTTTCAATTGAGAGTCCCTTTTCCCAAATGACTCTAGCTTGTGTCCAACCGACATAAAACTAGTCAGCATGCATGGCAAAAATACACTCCCATTTCAAAAACACATACCAACCACAAAAATAAATGGTCAACTTTGGATGGAGATGTAGTTTCATGGTGGAGTACTTACCATGCAGGAGACCCAGTGTTCCAGGCCCGGTACCTCAAATAAATAAGTGAATATTAAAAAGCCAATTTGAAGCCAGATGGTAGTGGCACACCAGACAGTGAAAGTAAAGGCAAGAGGATCTCTGTGAATATTAGGCCAACCTGGTCTACAGAGCCAGTTCCAGGGGGCTACACAAAGAAAGCTGTGCCAAAAAAAAAAAGCAAATAAGACAATAATAATAATAAAAAAGCTAATTTTAACAAACCAAATACCTGAGTCCCGCTGCTGCTTCTTCTTATTCATTTTATCTTTCCCTGAGAAATCTGAAAACAACAAACAAACTCTCCAGCTATCGCCAGCACTGTATGTCCCCATGTTTCCCTCTTCCACTGGGCCCATCTGGCAGCCTGATGGGGGAGTCAGCTAGTCTCCAAGAGGACACTGGGTGGGATGCCAGATCATAGTCATCTAGGGCCACGGCGGGGTAGGAATTCACACCCCTTCCCTGTGTGAAGGAACTATCTTTGGTTCTCCTCAGGATCCTTACTCTAGTCTCTGGGTTGGAGACAACTATGCTTCACCCCCACCCCCATGGTGCCCGCCAAAGCTCATGTATATGGGATGTGGGGTACTTGGAGGCTTTTGAGAGGCCACTGGAGACCCACCAAAGTCACAGAAGGCTTTAGCAGGGCCACCCGGGGCAGGAGTCGCTTCTGGCCAATGTCTTCGGGCTGTGGAACCAGGCAAGCCAGAACCAACCTGGGCCACAGCAGAGATGGAAGTCGCTCTGTCCTTAGTAGGGACGAGGTCAGCTGGGATCCGATGGGGAATAAATCTCCTAAATTACTTGTGTGAGGTTTTGAGAAAATGACCACATCGGCAGTCATGGGACCGCGTGGCCGACTGGTGCTGGGGACGCGAGGGCCTGAGGCCTGGCACCGTGGACCCGACACTCCTGGCGACCTGCCTCACAGTGAGCGACAGCAGTAACACCCCCACACCTCCACAAAGCGTGAGGCGCCACGACCCTCTAGCTGTCACTCCGCCGCGCCCTCACACCTGCAACCCCTACCCCTTTCCCGCCCGCGAGGCTCCGCCCCACGCAGCGCAGTACCGGTGCCGCGCCTTACGCATGCTTCGCCTCCTCCCCGCGCCGCCTCATGTCAAGCGCATGCGCGTTCACGCACTGGCTGCAGGGAGTTGTAGTTTAGTTAGAGATCCCGCGAATCCTGTGGCCGCGCTCCCGAAGGCCAAGGCGGAAGCAGGGTGGCCAAAACTCGAAAATTCCGGGGGCCGGGCACGGAGGAGGGACTCGGGGCTCAGGAGCACAGCGAGCTCAGAAACCCGGCTTCGGGGAAGAGGCAGAGTAAGACCAAGGTGCCAGGGCTGATAGTCCAGGCTTCGACCCTGGAAGATGCACAAGAGGAATGGACCCCCGGCACCCCCGGGCCGAGGCGCTGTCACCGCCCGCCAGGTGAGTGTGCGCCACTCTGCCCACCTAGGGGTCTCTCTGTCCCCTTCCTCAGGGTCTGTCCCCACCCTTCCTCACACTCGAGGGGCGTGCCCTACCCCCAGAAAAGCCTGATCCTCGCTAACAAGTGAACCCAAGTCCCCGCCCCCCAGGTGAGGCTTGCTCCGACTGTAGGGCCTACTGGCCTGAGCCATGCAGCTTCTGGCTCCCCACCCAGGTTTTGGGTAACACCTGTTGCTGCAGCAGTTCCAGCCGAGCAGAGGCAGCCATCAGACCAGCTTTTCCAGCCTTTGCATCAACTGGGCCAGGCCACACTCTTTACTCCCATTGTATTGATGAGGACACTGAGGCTCAGGGAGACGAAGACCTTTAACCAAGGTCATAAGATCGAACAGCCTGGCCAGACAGAAATGTCAGTTCAGAGGTGTACAAGACTGTGGCCCAGAGCCACACTCCCAAATCCAGAGCCTGTGGGAGTTTGATTTGTCTCAGCTTTGAACCAGGGAGCCTAGGGCCTAGCTCAGGCTCAGGTCTGAGTCTTCCTGACTACAGGTTCCCTCCTGCCCTTGGTACATTTGACAGATGTATTTGTAGCTCTGAACCTCAGTTTTCCCACCTGTGGAATGGAGGCCTGGAAGAGTCCCTAAATGGCAGGACAGTTGCAAAGACTTATTGAGATTGTTTATGAAAAATGCTAGAACATAGTGTGCAATTATTATTCCCAGTAGGTAAAGCCATGCATAATTGCTAGTATTTGACCAATTTGGACCCACAGAAAGGGTAATTTCATGTAACTCATCATATTCTACTGGTCATTAGCCAAAACAGGAGGACAGGGCTACAGAAAAGATCCATTTTTAATTTAGACGTTGTTGTCAGGGCTTTCATTTTTAAATTTTTTTCCTTGCTATGCTGGGGATGGAACCCAGGGCTTTACACATGGTAGGGTTAGGGTTAGCACATTATTGATGAATGCATCAACCAGCCTCACTCTGGTACAGCCTAGGCAGGTTGTCAGCTGTCGAGCCATGCGCCAAGTTAAAGGGCCTAAACATGGTACATGTGTCTCAGTCTCCTAGTCTCCCCAAGAAACAGTTTACTTTTAGAGATTTGGTTCCTACCTACCATGGTGACTCTCTAGGCTTCGTGGTATACGGAAGGTCTAACTGGACCATGGTTCTTCCCACAGCTCGGCCTGCTGGTTGATTTCTCCCCAGACGGCCTGATGATTCCTGAAGACGGAGTAAATGATGAGGAACTGGAGGCTGAGTTCTTGGCTTTGGTGGGGGACCAGCCCCAGGCCCTGGAGAAACTCAGAGGCAAAGGTGAGATGCTCAACACACTTGAGAATATTTTTGGAACTTCTGCTGTAGACAGTACTTGGAGCTGGGCACTGGGCTGGAAGTGGGGGAGGAAAACAGAAGACCCCACCTTCCTGGAGTCTAGGGTCTAGGTGACAGGGTCAGTTGTGGATGCAGCTAGGCCTTATCCAATCTGCTTTCTTTTTTTAGAATTTGTGTGTGTGTGTGTGTGTGTGTGTGTGTGTCTTTGTATGTATGCCATGTGTGTGCAGACATACACAAAAGCCATAAGAGGGTGTCAGATTTCCAGAGCTGAAGTCAGAAGTCATTGTGAGCCACCCCATGTGGGTGCTGGGAAACAAACTCAGGTCCTCTGCTAGAATAATATGCACTCAAAACCACCAAGCCATCTTCCCAGCCCCTCACTTTTATACCTTATATGAGTGATTTCACGATTTGCAGTATCCCTAAGCAAAGTGTTGCTTGGTGTTTTGGAGCATAGGTGGTAATCCTGCGCCTTTGGAAAGTAACATGTGCATCAGGCAGGAGCCACAGATCTGCCGGTTACCAGTTCAGTGTGCAGGTGGTAGATGGCATCAGGCTAGAAGGGCTCCGGGATGGTGAGATACCACAATGGTCAGAGAAGGGCATCTGTTATTCTGTTGCTTGCTGTGCTGATCTTTGGGGCCCTGAGTGTAGGGATGGGCAGCTGGGGCTCTGGGAGGATCCTGCTTTAGTTGGGGCTTCTTCCTGCCTCCAGGTCCCCTGCCAATGGAGGCCATTGAGAAGATGGCCCGGCTCTGCATGAGAGACCTGGATGAGGATGAGGAGGGGACCGACGAGGATGATGTGGAGACTGATGAGGACCTGCTGGTGAGCACAGGGCCAGGACATGTGTCAATACATCATCCCAGTGCCCTGTCCAGCAGCCTCTACCTCCTACCCTGGCCATGTATCTCTGCAGGCAGAGCTAAACGAGGTCCTTGGTGAGGAACAGAAGGCTGTGGAGCCCCTGATGCCTGTGGCCCAGGTATGCCTCCCTAGGTCACACATACACACATAGCCTGGAGTTCAAGTTCACCTTTCCCTCCTTCTACATATGACCTTGGGCACAGGTGACATGCTACCTCTGAACCTCTGGACTGTGATCTCTCCATCACTGGGAGCGGGGAAGATTGTTCCAGGGGAAATTTGTGTCCGGGAAATATGTGGTCATGCTATGAGGGGTTGGTCAGGGTAGCCTAAGCCTGGTCACCACCCAAATTGTACCCCCAATCTTCCTGTAGCCAAAGCCTTCAGGATCCAACCCAGGAATAGAGGCCATATTGCAGGAGAGGCTAGCCCTCTACCAGTCTGCAGTGGAGAATGCCAGGCAAGCTGGAGACAATGCCAAGATGCGACGATATGATCGGGGGCTCAAGGTGAGCAGGCTGAAGGCAGGGTTCTGAGATTCTACCTGGACCCAGGAGCACTGAGCTCTGAGTTACTCTCAGACTCATACTCACATCCTGTTTCAGACACTGGAAACCCTGCTGGCCTCTTCCAGGCAGGGCAACATTATCAATGAAGCAGACATCCCACCACTCATCACTGTGGGAAAGGCACCAGCCCCTGGGTACAGCCACACCCACGCTACTTCCCACCTGGCTTCTGTGAACCTGCCAGCCCCAGAGTCCAGGATCACCTTAGAGGCCCCGTCTGTCACCCCACAAACCTCTGCTAGGCCCCAGCTGCCTCCAGGTAAATGGTGGAAAGGGCCAGGGTCATACAGGGTTTGTGCGGGCTCTTCAGAGACCTCAGTACATGGGCTGTGCATACAATAGTATTTGACCATAAAAGGGAATAATTTTAATTTTTAGCATGCTCTAACATGGAAGAGCTATGAGGACATGATGTTAAGGGCAGAAGCTATAGAAGACAGAGACACTAATCCCATTCCCAGGATGGCCCCAGGGCTGTCAGATCAATAAACACAGGAGGTGGAATGGCAGGTGGCATGCTGGGGAGGGAGGAACACAGGACAGGAGTGAGTGTTTAATGGAGTTTTAGTTTGTGGAAATACACATTATAGAGATGGTGAGCATGGCTGCACTATTTTGTGGATGTGTGTAATGCTACCAGACTATGCGCTTAAAAGTGGCCTATTAGAGCCAGTAGTAGTGGTGCACTCCTTTAATCCCAGCACTTGGGAAGCAAAAGCAGACAGATATCTGAGTTCTAGGCTAGTGTGGTCTACAGAGTGAGTTCCAGGACAGCCAGGGTTGTTACACAGAGAAACCCTGTCTCAAAAAAAAAAAAAAAAAAAAAAAAAAGGTGGTTACTAGACAAGCAGATATCAGCAGGTAAAGTTCCTGCTATGTAAACATGAGGATATGAGTTCAGACCCCAGTATCTATATAGAAAGCTAGGCATGGTGGTGTGTACCTGCAGTCCCAGCATGGAGAAACAGACAGGAGGATCCTTGGGGCTTGCTGTTGGCCAGCCAGTCTAGCCAGTTGGTGAGCTCCAAGTTCAATGAGAGACTGTTTCAGAAAGCAATTGAGGAAGACACTTGGTGTTGGCCTCTGTCCTCTACAGGCACACATATCCACACTTAAAACAACACAGACACAAAACAGAAGCATGTTTCCAATGCATCAGGCATGCTAACACATACATATCAGTCCTGCACTCAGACAACATAGAAAGACCCACCTCAGAAAGAGAAAGGAGACTGATAAAGTGGCAATGATGGGACCCAGCAAAGGTAGAAGAAGAGAATCAATTGCACAAAATTGGCATCTGACCACCACATGTAGGTTTTTTTTTTGAGTCAGGGTCTCACTGTGTAGACCTGGCTGACTGTGAACTCACAGAGATATGCCTACGTCTGCCTCTTGAGCACCTGATAAAAATTTTTTTTAAAAATTTAACAGAAAAAGAAAAGAAAAACAATTTAAAGTATGTTTTATGTATGCTACTATAATTTACAAAATAACAAGTAGGGCTGGGCATGCTGGCACACACCTTTAATCCTGTTACTTGGAAGGCAGATCACTTTGAGTTCAAGGCCAGTCTGGTCTATATAGCAAGCCTAGGCCAGCCAGGGCTAAATAATAAGACCTTGTCTCACAAAAAGAAAAAACAAAAAAAAGAAGAACTAGGAGGCCTGGAGAGATGGCTCAACAATTAAGAACATTTGTTGCTCTTGAAGAAGACCCAGGGTTTGGTTCCCAACTCCCACAGGGAGGCTCAAAACTGTCTGTAACTGGAGTTTCAAAGGAGCTGATGCCCTCTCTGGCCTCCAAGGGTGCCAGGCACAGATGTGGTACACATACATACCCG